GGTTAAGGAAGACTCTTTGAAATTTAATAACCTTGTCCATAACTTAATAAAGCAAAACCAACTGTTTAATTCATAATATACCCTTAATTTTCTTAAAAAAAATTCATCAAACCAAAATATTTAATTTAAAATCCTTAGTTCTTATAGATATAATTTTATTGTATGAAAATTGAAGGAACACGAACACATAACATGAGCTTTCGTTATCCTTCGATATTGTCAAAAGTATACTCTAGCATGAACAATTGGATTTTTAATAAAACCAACCAAAATCTCAGTTTTATTAAACTTTATGTCATCGAAATAAACCATTTGTCATCAAACATAATAATAAAATTTCATACATACTTATAGATATTCAAATATATACAAAATTAGTTATTTAACTATAAGAAAATCCACATATTTAACCAATCTTTAATATCAAAGTATCAACTCCATATTTAATAGCACAAATGTTGATCACAAACAATCTTTTGTAAAAAATAAATTCGTCGACTCTTACAAAAATATTCATAATATATTATAGATATATCAAAAAAATACTGGCCACAGCCCAATCAACGTAGCCCCACAGAGCTTTCTTAGAGCTATTATAAACTAAGTTTCACATTTATTAAGTTCATCAAAAAAAGCTCGTAATCCATATTACAAATTCTAGTCAAGAAATTGACATATTTTTACATGAACTTGTAAAAATCATAACTAATTCTAGAAAAATTATTTTTAAGTGATTTAAAAACCAACTTAAAGCTTAATATGTCTACTTGAATAGAAAAATATCAACTGAGACAAAACAATATATAAAATAACCAGAAAAACTGAAATTTCATAGCTAATCACCGAAACTTATTCATAATCATTTTTTCAAACATATAGCATACAAACTTCAAACAACTAGAGATAAACTTAATGATTATAAAAAATTAAACTCCATTATCAAAATACAAATTCTAATTAAAACCTATGATTTTTAAAGGTTGAGGACTCTCATCCTTAAAGAAACGACAAAGTTTAGCTTCACTTTGATGATGTACTCGTGGCTTGAATTGGGAGAAACATGTTTAGCTGGAATAGTAGATTTGGAGAAGTTAAATATCATCCACTAAAATAAATTGATCAATGAACAAGTTTTGGTAATGACAACTTACCAAAATGGATTTACAATCTTCTATTCTCATATTGGGGCTTGAACCAAATATTTGAGAGGTTTTTAGGGCTCAAAAATCATCTCTAACTCAAGGAAATCAAAGGGGGGTGTTAGTACTATGAGTTGGGAGAAAAAATTTGATGGAAAATTAGAGTTTTGAATGATTTTTTGTGGGTTTTCTATAACTCCTCTACATAGTTACGGGATTCTTTTGTTTTTTTTGAGAGAAAGAGTAAGAGAGGGAGTAAGAGAGAATGGAATATGTCCGAACTTTAGGAAATAATCGATATGTCACCTTCTCTTTCTCTTTTTAATTTTATCTTTTAACCCAACTAAATTTCTATTGGTTATGGTGTATGATGACTCTCAAACAACCAATCAGAAACTTTTTGAAATTCAATTAGCTTTTCTGTTTTGACCAACATATTTTTACAATCGCGTTTTGGGTCCCATATATTTAAAAAATTACGTTTTGATTCCGTATTTTGGCAAAATTGCAAATTTGGCCCCAAAATTGAATCTTTATAAAAAAAAACTCTACTCTTAATTAATTTTGATGCTCCGGTTAAGAATCCGATATTAGAAATTTTATCCATAATTTAATTCACTAAGTTTTGTTCCAATTAATATTTTTGGAAAAAATTTACCCTTCGGACGATAATTTCGTCGGGTGACGCGCGAGCTTAGGACATCCAAATCCTCTTTCATTGTGATGAGAAAATCATAAAACACATAATAATCATAAAGCTCACCACAAAATTTCATAAGTATCCAAGATAGAGTTAAGGAGTGTTACAATTTTTGTTTGCTATTGAGTCATAATTATAACAAATTTTTACACCCACAAAATTCATGAATGTCCCCACCAATCAAAATCTATGTGTATGACAATTTTACCATGCATTAAAATTACATCGAAGCCCATTAATATTCTCTCTTATTAATTATTAATAGAAATTTAGAAATATTATTCTTTTCAAAAAAAGAAAAAAAGAAAAAGAAAAAATTAAGCATGCACCCACATTAATCATATTAGAAAGTATGTTTCAAAAGAATGAAGAAACTTACACCCACATCTTTATTAACACTAATTCCATTTTCATAAATCCTAAATATTTTTTATTAAATTCTTTGAAAATTTCAATGGTGATTCTAATTGAAACAAAAATAAATAAATAAAACGTGTTTCTTGAAAAGTCAAAAAGTTTAAGTATGTACTTCTAATATTTTACTTTCTTAGAACTTCTAATATTTTACTTTCTTAGAATTTCTCCAATTTTTTTTCTTTTTCTGTTTGTTAGTTTTTTTATGATAATTGTTTGCGGTTTTTCTTATAATTCAAACTCTTCTTGTACATTTTCCCCTTCTTGGACGGTTTTTTTTTATTTTTTTGAAGGAAGCATTCATGGACGTGGAGGCTTCGTCTCTAGATAAGATTAATGTCCTAAGGGTGATTAACTATTTTGTTTCCTGCTCATGAAATCCTTTTATATAATAATTATAATGAATAAAATAATAATAACTAATTTGGCATTAGTTTATGATATTTACACATTTTTTTTCTAGAAAAAACTACAATACCTCCTTTTCTTTTCGATATCCATATACCCTTTCTTGACCATCAGATTGGCATCATACGGTGGATAAATAAACAAACTCAACATTCCTAATATGAGCCATGCACACCAGATTAAAAACAAAAGCGAGAGAAACTAGATTTGGAATACTCGTTGCCGTCAACGATGTGCGTGGAGGAAATCACTGAAAATTAGGTCGAGACGGCGGGAGCTGTTGGGTGGCATTCCACCACCATGGATCACGACGGAAATTGTCACCCACTGCTGTCGCGAGGATAGAAATTGAGTTCACTATCACAACGCGACCCAGGTGACTGAGTTCATCGCAACGGAGTTGCGAAACAACCCATCGTGACCTGTCCCTGGTAGTTGCGACAAAGGTCGCGACGACTCATCGTCACGATTAAGGTCGCGACCCCGTTACGACGGAGATCACCACATGGCGATTTTTGTTAATCATTCTAACATAAAGGGAAAACTTGTTAACGAAACAAAGTTAGAGAGGAAAGGGATGTTACTTTTTAAAGGGACAAAATGTTAAAATGATCATAATTCAGGAGGAATTTTTGAAATTAATCCTAAATAAATTGATAAGTTTAAATTTATATATTATTTATTAAGTAATAAGTGTATATAAGAAGTGGATTTCATCTCTTATTCAAATCATTCAAAATATCTTTCTTGGCACAGACATAGAAATATAATTTTTTTTTTTTTTTTGCAAAGTTTACGTTTTTTTAATATTTTAGAATATTTGAAGGAAGATATCTAAGAAATTATCACCCAATTAGTAAAATTTATTTAGTTTTTCTTCAATATCTTACCTAAGAAAAATGGTTTTAAATATGTAAAGGTATTGATTTTATAAGAAGACTACATCACATTACTTTACACAACTAAACATAGTGAAATAATATTCTTAAAAATTTGAGGAAGAATTCTTATGTATAACTAAATATGATAATTTTTTGAGAATTTGAGAAAGAATTCTTACGTATAACTAAATATAATAATGTATGCTTCCTGTTCGAATCATATTACTTTTTATCAATTTTTTTGATAATATGATTCATACACACCAAATACCTCTTATAATTCTCATTGGAAGCTTTGCTATCTCTTAAAGATTTGTGTTACCACAACAACAATTAACATATTAAGTTATATACAGATTTTTTACAGATTATAGTTTTACAAAAATTGAAGGAAAATAAATATAACTTTAAAAATTCTTTATTATTATTATTATTAATTTTATAAAAATAGTAAGTATTTACCCTTTAAAATATATTATTATTAAATAATAAAATAGACAATATCGTAATTAGACAAACAATTATCATCATCCTTCAAATCTCCCTCACTCACACTAAACAACATAAAAAAATAAAGGATTATTATTACCGATGCTCTCTAAACTTTAGAGTTATTCTCAATTTACCATCTGAATTTTAAAAACTCTCACTTTACCCCTTAAATTTTAAATTATTCTCACTTAACCTATTTTGTTATAATTTATGTGAAAAATATAAAGTAATACAATCATCTGATCTTTCTATTTAAATTTCTGTTAAAAATAAATAATGGATAAAAACCACATGGTGAAACTTAAAACCTCCTATTTAAGAAAAATTATGACAGAGTAGGTTAAGTGGGAATAAACATAGTAAATTGCACCATTTAACGTAGCTATCGGCACGTGTTGCGCGTACTATTAATGGTAGAGCCCAATGCAAAAAAAGATCTGCCTTCTTATTTGGGAAAAGGGGTGCATTTATTTTTATTAATATTTTATGTAATTAAATAATTATATTAGTTAAAAAATATTAATTAAGAGTACGAGAAAAAGTGCGATTATTACACTTTAAAGATAATTTTAGAAAAAAAATTTTCATTTTTTCCATATTTTTTTGCCCTGTTTTCTTTTTTATTTTTTTTAATGTTCTTACATTTTGACTTTAACTCCCTCCTTTTTAAATATTAACTTGGATCTCGTTCACTTTGCGGATTTTAGTTTTTAATTTGAACTGAGAGGTGATATTTTTTTAGAGTTTTTTATTGTAACAGAAAAAGTTAAATGTGACATTTTCTGAGAGCTTTTTACTATAGAAACTTAAAATTGAAAATTCAAATCGGTAAAATGAACTAGGTAAAATTTTTGAACTTGTTATTCTACTAAAGGAACTTGATTTTAACGCAAGTTTAAATTGTAGATCATATAAAATCCGAATGAGAAAAGAAGAAAAAGCTATTATCTGGTTTTGAAACAAAAACCCAAAAGGCCTCTTTTTTTTTTTGGGATTCAAAACTAAAGGGAGTTAGCATACAATACAAGACAAGAGAAGACGTTATCTTGAATATCTGGTTTTGAAAGAAAACCAAAACCAAAACCAAAAGACTTTCTTCTTCGGGTTAGCTGTTAGAAAACAGCAAGCAAAAGGAGGAGAGAAAAGGGAGAGAAAGATTAGAGAATGCCAACGTTGAACCTCTTCACAAACGTCCCGGTTGACCCAGTTCTCGCCTCCGACATTCTCAAAGACGCCACCAAAGTTGTTGCTAAAATCATTGGCAAACCTGAGTCTGTATACTCCTCTCTCTCTCTCTCTAGAATCTATGGAGTTATGTATGTATATATGTGAGTGTATATATAGGTGTGTGTGTGTGTATATATATATATATATACACACATTTTCCCATGTTCTGTTGGTATTACGTTTGTTTAACGTAACTGTTTCTTGTGCCCATAAACTGTTTGATGAAATGCTCCTTTGTATTCTTCTTTGTTAAGGATGTTTGCAACTTCTTCCCATGATTGAACTGGTTTGTTTGAAGCATAGTTAATACAGCACTGCCAAATAAACTTGGCCGAGGATTTTGGTGAATTTTGATTGAACTTTTTGAAAAAATTCCGCTCCCTGTGTCGCAGTTTTAAGTACTATATCTTGGGTTTTCAAGTTTTTTTTTTTTTTTTCTCCTTTTTGTCCTGAATATTTATAGTCACACATGTAAGTGGTGTGAATTCACAAGTAGTAGAGCCGTAGAGGAAATTTTTCGGTAATGGCCGCGGAATACTATATAAGGAATTCCTCATGTTTTGTATACTCGTCATCATGGATTTGTCAATACAAGTCTGTTTTTATGTTTTCCTTTTGCGTGGCAAAGTAGTAGGAGCTCAAATCGAAGAGATTTATGGCCCGTTTGGAAGGTATAATTAAACTATGATTTTTAATTCTGACGTTTAAAATTTAAATTTTTTAGAGTTATTCGCACTATACCCCCGGAACACTTTCAATTTAGCACTTTTAATCTTGAATTTTATTTTTTAGTAATTTAAACCTTGAACTATTTTAATTTGGCACTTTAAACTCTGAACTTTATTTTTGGCAATTTAAACCTCGAGTTCTCACAATTTGGCACTTTCAACTCTGATTTTTATTTTTAGTTATTTTCTGAAAATGGTTTATTATTTTCAAACTTTTTATTATAATTAGTATATTATATAATTCATATATTAATTATTACTTATTTGTTTAATAATATATTATTTGTTATTCCATTATTAATATATTTATAACCAATTTTTGCCAATTAATTTTTTACTAAATAACTAATTACTATTTATTTTCTATTTTCTATTTTTATTTTATTAATAAATTAAAAACTTAATAATAAAAAACTAATATTTATTTTTTGGTGAGAGTGGTTTTTTGGTTGTTTTTAATAATGTTTCTTCATATCTTTTGAGGCACGAAAACGAAAACGCTATGTAAATCACAATAAGCAATAAATAGTAATTAATTTCTTATTATTAATTTTTTAATTTATTGGCCCCATTTCTAAAAAATAACCAAAAAATGAAAATCATGATTGAAAGTGCCAAATTGCGAGAGTTCAAGGTTTAAATTGCTAAAAATAAAGTTTAGGATTGAAAGTGCCAGATTAAGATAGTTGAAGGTTTAAATTACCAAAAAATAAAGTTCAAGGTTGAAAGTGCCAAACTGAAAGAGTTCAGGGGGCTATAGTGCCAATAACCCAATTTTTTGTGAAAGGAAAACACTATAGCAGAATCAATGATTTGAGTTTGAGTATATGAAACAAATGAACCCTTATTTCTTTGTACAACCAAGTAAAATTCAGCACCAATTACGCACTATATCTTGCCTTCTTGTCGTGTGGATTACTTGGTCCTGCTTCCTTTTTTTTCTCGTTTAATATAGTTGGTACAATGGACCTAAGTGCCTTTTGTATCAAATCACTGTTCATTCTTGTGGCAACTGTTTCTTTTCTTATGCGGTGGTTACATAAAGTTCTTATGTAGTGTCTCTCTTAACTGTTCAGTATGTGATGATTTTGATAAATGGGGGAGTGCCAATTGCATTTGCCGGCACTGAAGAACCTGCTGCCTATGCGGAATTGATTTCTATTGGGGGCCTTGGACCGAGTGTCAACGGAAAATTGAGTTCAACGATTGCGGAAATCCTGCAAACCAAGCTTTCCATAGACAGCTCTCGCTTCTATATCAAATTCTATGATGCTCAGGTGTGTTAAATTGACTTGGTCTGCTCTGGTTGTCATTTTTTCTTCCTTTTAAATTCTCAGTTGTTTTTCCATTTTCCTGACATGGAACTATTTGCTATGAGAGAACGAGATTGCCTAAAATTTGAAGCGACAAGCGTTCCTGGGATTATTCTTTAGATATTGGTTACAAAAGAATGATAGTTTTCTCAGCCATTTAAAGGTTACTGTGCTTGGTTTAGTTATAATATGGAATTGGTGATAAAGTTGCAACTGAACAAAGTGTTAGATGCTTGTAATTCTTGTGTGAGAATGGTTTGTTTAGCTAGGTTGCGCTTGCAACACCAAACTCTCTGTAGAGATTAACGTTTCTGCGACCAATAGAGGAAATAAATACATGAGAGAAAGCAAGTCGGGAAAATAAAAGGGAAACGAGAGGCAGCGAAAAGCTAAAAAGGATAAAATCCGAAGTTCAATACAATTTTATTCCTAGTTCAAGTAGTGTTTATAGGCATCGGTTGGTGCTTGGCATCACAAGTCACATAAAATGGGTCCCACATAAGTCTTATGGGTAAGAGTTTTCGCGGATCTCCCTATTACCGGGAAACCCACAGAAGTCAAAATGGGAAGAGGAAAAGGAAATCCTACGGGTTGGATTGCTCGTGTGTCTAATAGAGACTTGCTGTAAGGCATTAGCTATTCACAAATTCATTTTTTAATCCGAGCACTACTATGAGGCATCAATGGTGCTCAACACCACAATTCACCTAGAGGAAGTCCCACATAGGTCTTACATACATATGAGATTCGCCTCATATTACTTGTGCGATAAGGCATCAGTCTATAAGCAGTGCTTGAGACTCACAAATTCATTCCATAGCCCAGGACTCACAAAATTGATTCTTTACTCCGAGTAGGGTTATAAGGCGGCAGTACTAATTGGCACCATAACTCACCCAGCGTAGGTCCCACATAGGTCTTACATACATACGAGACTCACCTTATGCAAGTTGTGTTACCGAGCACCGCTAATGCTCTCTTTGTCATTCACATGAAATTAATGCAAATAAAAACACGGAATTGTTGATGCCTCAATTATTCAAGAGTGATACACTTACATTTTGCTGACAAGCTAATATATTCCTAATTTTCTTTTTGGCTGCAGCGACCGTTCTTCGGATTTAATGGCTCGACGTTCTGAGCATCCTTGTCTGAAACCATGTACTCAAAGTTGGAGGGTGGATTGCTCTTACCTTTAAGTTGTAATTTTCCTTGAGATCTAGTTGTCTACATTTCTCTGTGTTGCTGATGAAATTTTTAACTTTTGTTCAAACAGGAAAAATGTAATTATACTGACGCCCCTTAATTAATAAACTTTTAAAAGTGTCCATAAATCTTCTAAAACGCTACCCTGTAGCAATGGGGTGGAGTATACCTTGAGGTTACATGGGTATGCTACCTCTCTTCTTATAGGGTATTCTTTAAAAGATATATTTAATATCTTTTTAATGCTAAATCTTATTACTATTATCTTGATTGCAGGTGTTAGTTATTAAAAATTGTTTCCTCCATTTCATTCTCAAACATTTTAAAAAATTTCCTCTTATGGGGATAACTGTATTTCATCAGTTACTTTTATATTTTAAAAGTCAATTTGCTTTGATTTCTTATTACAACTAGTCTTATTTTATACCGGTTTTTTGTGGTTTTGATCCCCTAAAAGTGTTTTACTTTGCTATGTATTAAAAAGAGGCTGGTAAGGATGGCCTACCTTCCTTATTTCCTCTTACAAAAATAAAAAAAAAATTGAAATATAAATATAAAATAAATAACATTATACATTGGAGTAAAAATGAAAATAACATATTATATCATATTTATTTTTATTTTAAATATGCAATTGAAATTAATATTTTCATTAGAGATGGTCTTATGTGTTGTTTTCATACATCACATGATTTATTTTTATTTGTTCTTTAGATAAAAAAGACATTATTTGGTTGGATTTCTTTTTATCATTGATTGTAACTTTTGATACTTTCATTCTTCTAAAAAAAAAATTGTAATTTTTTCTAGTTGTAAATAAATCATTTATCATGTAAATGATTTATTTACCACGTAATCTGCTATTTACTTAATTTAGTTTCAAAAATTTACTATTTACTACAATTTTCCTTTTTTATTATTACTATTTTTTGTTTTTCGTTGATCTGATTTCTGGTTTTGGTTATGAATTTTACTTGCCAAGTTTTTGTTCTTGGCCTTTTTGTTGAAATGATTACTGGTATTGTTAATTCTTCACGTCTGAATTATAGATGAGATAATTTTTAGTTCTTCCTCCTCTTTTTAGACTTTTTTAGTTTTTTTCTCTTTCTTTCACTAAAAATAGTTTTTTAAATGACATTTTTTTACTGTGAGACCCTATAAAAAAACCCACCAGTGAGACTGTCGTTTTTAACTATAAATTAATTTTTTAATGGTTAGATTTATACAAATCTGTATAAAAATTGTGCAAGGCGCCACATAGAACTGCTCATGTTTCAAATTTAACTGTTAAAAAATTAATCTAACAGTTAAAAACATGTGTCTCACCACTATTTTTTTTAGGGTATCACCGTCAAGAATGCCTGTTTCAATATATTAGAAACATTTTTAGAAAATATTTTTAAAAACATATAAGCCTCGTTCGCTTCGCAAATTTGAGTTTTCAATTTAAATTAAGATATGCCATTTTTATAGAGTTTTTAACTGTAGCAGAAAAAAATTAGATGTGATATTTTTTTAGAGCTTTTAACTGTAAAAACTTAAAACTGAAAATTCGAATCGGTGAAATGAGCGACACCATAGTTAATGGTAGTTTAGACATGTTGCCTAGCTTGTTTCGTTGGTTTAGTTCAATGCAGCTCAATTTGAATAGTAAGCATAGTTTGAACTCGTGTTTGGTAAGCATACAGTTTGAATTATATTCTCCGTTTAAATTAAGTTGAACGATCCAACTTAGAGTTTAGCTCTCCCCTTAAATTTAAATGTTTAAACCATTTTTGAACAACTCGTTCATTTCACCGATTCGAGTTTAGAATTTGAGTTTTACTACAGTAAAAAGCTCTCAGAAACAGTCAAATCTAACTTTTTTGATACAGTAAAAAGCTCACATATGTGAAGCTCACATAAAATCACATATAAATTCGAATTAAAAACTCGAATAAGCGAACTAAACGGACCCTAAAAAGGTGTTCACTCTCTACTTTTCACACCTACCAAACACAAATTTGAATTTTATTTCATGTTCAAATTAAAACTTTAACTACACATCCAAACGTCAATTCAAACTACAATTTAAAGCACATAGTTTGAATTTTTCTGTTTAAATAAAAAAGTTTAAATCAACAAAATTCAAACTAACGAACTAAACGGGAGGTTGATTTATATCTCTAAAAAGATCCCAGAATAACTAAAAGATGTTTTTTAATACTTGAAATTACCATTTTAATATTAGGGATTTTAGCACAAATGGCCTTTTTTAATGATGTTTTTCATAAATGGCTGAAGTTTTATAAAATTGTAAAAATGGTCATTTTCATTAACTTTTAGTGGTCAATCATGGGACGTTTGGTTCATTTCATGATTCTGATTTTTGAAATTTAAATTTTTTGTGAGAGAAAAACACTATAGAGAATCAAGAACTATGATTCATAATTAGAGACGAACCCTTAAAACAAACATCCCATTAATGATTGACTCAGCAGTCAATCACTGATTAACTTACCGGTGAATCATGATTGATTCTAGTTTATCATTGATTAACTCAATTATTCTATATTATTAATCAATATTAATTAATAATTAACTAAAATCAATTAATAAATAATCAATATTAATTAATAATTAACTAAAATCAATATTAATTAGTAATTAATTAATTTTAATTAGTAATTAATTAATTTTAATTACTAATTAATTAATTTTAATTACTAATTATATTTCCACTATTTTTTTTAGGGTATCACCGTCAAGAATGCCTGTTTCAATATATTAGAAACATTTTTAGAAAATATTTTTAAAAACATATAAGCCTCGTTCGCTTCGCAAATTTGAGTTTTCAATTTAAATTAAGATATGCCATTTTTATAGAGTTTTTAACTGTAGCAGAAAAAAATTAGATGTGATATTTTTTTAGAGCTTTTAACTGTAAAAACTTAAAACTGAAAATTCGAATCGGTGAAATGAGCGACACCATAGTTAATGGTAGTTTAGACATGTTGCCTAGCTTGTTTCGTTGGTTTAGTTCAATGCAGCTCAATTTGAATAGTAAGCATAGTTTGAACTCGTGTTTGGTAAGCATACAGTTTGAATTATATTCTCCGTTTAAATTAAGTTGAACGATCCAACTTAGAGTTTAGCTCTCCCCTTAAATTTAAATGTTTAAACCATTTTTGAACAACTCGTTCATTTCACCGATTCGAGTTTAGAATTTGAGTTTTACTACAGTAAAAAGCTCTCAGAAACAGTCAAATCTAACTTTTTTGATACAGTAAAAAGCTCACATATGTGAAGCTCACATAAAATCACATATAAATTCGAATTAAAAACTCGAATAAGCGAACTAAACGGACCCTAAAAAGGTGTTCACTCTCTACTTTTCACACCTACCAAACACAAATTTGAATTTTATTTCATGTTCAAATTAAAACTTTAACTACACATCCAAACGTCAATTCAAACTACAATTTAAAGCACATAGTTTGAATTTTTCTGTTTAAATAAAAAAGTTTAAATCAACAAAATTCAAACTAACGAACTAAACGGGAGGTTGATTTATATCTCTAAAAAGATCCCAGAATAACTAAAAGATGTTTTTTAATACTTGAAATTACCATTTTAATATTAGGGATTTTAGCACAAATGGCCTTTTTTAATGATGTTTTTCATAAATGGCTGAAGTTTTATAAAATTGTAAAAATGGTCATTTTCATTAACTTTTAGTGGTCAATCATGGGACGTTTGGTTCATTTCATGATTCTGATTTTTGAAATTTAAATTTTTTGTGAGAGAAAAACACTATAGAGAATCAAGAACTATGATTCATAATTAGAGACGAACCCTTAAAACAAACATCCCATTAATGATTGACTCAGCAGTCAATCACTGATTAACTTACCGGTGAATCATGATTGATTCTAGTTTATCATTGATTAACTCAATTATTCTATATTATTAATCAATATTAATTAATAATTAACTAAAATCAATTAATAAATAATCAATATTAATTAATAATTAACTAAAATCAATATTAATTAGTAATTAATTAATTTTAATTAGTAATTAATTAATTTTAATTACTAATTAATTAATTTTAATTACTAATTATATTTAATTAATTAATAATTAAAATTAATTTTAATTAATAATTAATTAATTTTAATTAATAAATTTCATGTTTAATAATGATAAACTATTAATAAATTAATAAAGAATTGTTTAGTTGGGGAATTCGTACTCCGATTTGAATCATGGTTCATGGTTCGTTACAGTGTTTTCTCTCACAAAAAATACACGTAAATCAAAAATGGTTCTAATCCATGAACCAAACGTCTCATAATAAATGACGGATTAACTGTAGTTTATAGGTCAAATCACTGAGAAGTTGTTTGGTTGGGGGATTCGTTCTCCGATTTGAATCATGATTCGTGATTTACTACAGTGTTTTCTCTCATAAAAAATACACGTAAATTGAAAATAATTTTAATTCATGAACTAAACGTCCGCTGATTACTTTATGTAAATAAAACAATCATTTTCATTAAATTTAAAAAAAATTCGGCTATTTATAAAAAAAAAAAAAGTGAGCACCCAACGCAATTTTAAAAACACGTGATACCAATATCACCTTTCGCTGTAGCTCAGATATCAATGCTTTATCTCAAGTTTTATTAACTCATTTGCAAGGAATGAATCTTAACTCGTCGTCGTGTGGCTTAAACAGAAAGAGAGAGAGAGAGAGAGAGAAATGGAAGTCTGACTCTGAAATACGATTTCCAGTGCGGCAATTGAGTGTTTCACTCTTCATCTCTCTGCCTTAACTCCACCAAAAGAGAAAGACATTCCAATTTTCGTTTCAATCCATTCCTTGTCGTTTTCCTCTGTCTCCTTCCCCAGGGGATCGAAATTCCGATTTATTCCGCATGTGTGTTCTGTAAAGCAGTGCTCAATAAGAGAGAGAGAGAGAGAGAGAGAGAAGAGAGAGAGAGGGAGAGTTAGGGTTTCAATGAGAGGTCACAAAACAGGAGGCTTCAACGCCAACAGCCACCACACACGGCGGCCGACCGTCATATATCTGGTCTTTGCCGCCGCATTCTTCGCTCTCCTCGTTTTCGCCATTCAGTTCTCTTTCTTCACAGGTTCCCCCTTTACTCTCTCTCTCTCTCTCTCTCTTGTTTAAATTCTTGTTCATCTACTTAGCTTAGCCTATATCCAGGTGGAGGTGACGGTGGCGCTGGCGGTGGCGTTACTTCCGAGCAAAACGATCCTCAAGCTGTTACTCAGAAATTGAATCTCACCGCCCAACAAGATTCCAAAAGCCTCTTCGATTTTCAGTCCTCTCTTCAGCAATGCGTGGTTTGTATTTCTTCTCGGATCTCTTCTTCCTTTTTTTTTAAAGAATTAATTAAATAATTAAAGAAACCTTTAAGTGAACGATCTTACATTGGAATTATTTGCCTAATACTATAAACTAAGTGGGATTTTAAGTTACAACTGAAATTCATGTGGATCGGTTACATTCTACTATGAGTGGAGACAGAATTTTTTTAAGGATTTCCTAGCACATGAGTTCCTTTATTAAGCTCAAAATAAATAAATTAAATTAGGCCCCGGTTGTTTCATATACTCAAACTCAAATCTTGATTCTGCTGTAGTATTTTTCCCTCACAAAAAATTTAAATTTCAAACGTCAGATCACGAATCTTGGTTTGAGTATACCTTCCAAACATGCCCTTAGTGTTTTTGGTGATTTTTCTAGGACATGAGTTCATTTATTAAGCTCAAAATGATTGTATAAAGCTAAAATTTTACAGTTTACTTAAAACTATGAGTGGAAATTGGGATTTTAATAGCATGAGTTCGTTTATTTAGCTCAAAGTTAATAAAGATACAGGTTTACTTGGTGCTACGAATGATCAAAACACTTGTGGGTATTTTTCAAGCATATGAGTTATCTTGTTTACTTTTTGCAGGCAAACAGAGGGCTCGGACTCACCGCACATATCATTGACCATTGCAACTTGGTACTCCAGTTCCCCAAAGGCACTAACAGCACATGGGTTTGTCGCTAATCCCGCCTTTCTCTTTGTCTCGATCTAAAAGAAAAAGTATTCTGAAATTTAAATCATGGTGCTGAGTGGTTCAATTGGTGCATTGCAGTACAGTGAGCAGTTCAAAATCTATGAACCATTGGAGTACAAGTACAACACTTGTGAGGCACTTCTACTATGGGAACAGGTTAGTAACAAATTAATAATCTTACATAATCAGAATAGTTAGCTTATGTGGTAATTACATGCACTTACGTTTTCAAGGATACAGTATCGTAACATGACAACAGTGCTAACAAGAGAATATCTAGATGTTCGGCCTAAAGGATGGGAAGAGTATGCGGCAAAAAGGATAGCTCAATTGTATGGCTCTAAGCACATTATGCCTTTTTCCATCCCCCCTTTTTTTTACTCGTTTCATTATAGTATATCACTTGATTGCATTTGTGTTTAAATAAACTTCTTTATGATTTTTTTTTTTGTTTTTTTGTTTTTTTTGTTTTTTTTTGTTTTGTTTTTGGTTGCAGAGGAGCTGATAAATGCTACAATCGGACTCTCTGCGAGGAACACCTCAATTTGATTTTACCAGCAAAGCCCCCTTTTCATCCTCGACAGTTCCGCACATGTGCAGTTGTTGGAAATTCGGGAGATCTCTTGAAGACTAATTTTGGAGAAGAGATTGATTCTCATGATGCTGTGATACGAGACAATGAGGCTCCTGTTAATGAGGTAGCAATTTTAGGAACATTGATTCCGATCACTAATGAACACGAGGTCTTTGTTTACGTTATGGTCAATTGTCATGGAATGCGTACAATGAGGCAGTACATGTAGTCTTCCATCTTTATGCTTTTTTCTTTAAGGTCTTTTGACTGATGAAATGGCTTGTTCTTTCCTTCCATTTGAACTGGTACTTTTTGGCGGGTGATTTAGGCATAGTCAAGTATTTAATAAAACCTGTCTTACCTTTCCGTGTTTGCTGTAGAAATATGCCAAGTATGTTGGGTTGAAGAGGGATTTTCGACTTGTAGTCAGAGGTGCTGCTCGTAATATGATTACCATTTTAAATGGGTCTGGTGAGTCATTATCTGTGCTATTTTTTTTTTTCTGTTGACAGGATAAGTTGCATCTTTTTTTAATATGTTGATGGTGTTATGTTATTACATGGGTGTATTGTTAATTGGGCTTCTTTCTTTTTCCCCTTCCAACTAAGGAATGGTGCTCACTCTTAATAACTGAAAAAGGTTTTGATGAGTTATTGGATAAAAGACTTGTGAGTTATTTCCATAATGTGGACATAGATACACGAGTATATACAATTTTCTTTCCTTTGCAGCCGATGAGGTACTCATAATCAAAAGTGTGACACACAGAGATTTCAATGCAATGATCAAGGTGATGATTCAAACTAAGTAGGTCACCTCTATTTTCTGGGAAATTGTTCTTGTTTTCCTCGTCTGAATTATGTTATGTTGCAGAAAATTCCAAATCCAGTTTATCTCTTTCAAGGAATCGTACTACGCCGAGGTGCAAAAGGAACCGGAATGAAATCTATAGAACTAGCACTCTCCATGTGTGACATTGTTGACATATATGGTTTCACAGTTGACCCTGGCTATACTGAATGGTTAGTTCAACCTTATATTTAGATCTATTGTTGCTCTTGTTGTGTATTGGTATCAGTAAACAACGTTGAAGGTTCCTAGAGTCTCTGGCTGAATGTGAACAATCTTTGGCATATCCTATTTCATTTCCTTGCGTTCCGATGCATCTCATCATCTATGAATTCTGGTTTTTATTTGTTACGTTCTTTCTTGTAGGACAAGATACTTCTCTACACCTAGGAAAGGTCACAACCCACTTCAAGGAAGGGCGTACTACCAGCTCCTAGAGTGCCTTGGTGTAAGAATATACACATTTAGTATACGGAATTTACAGCAAGCATTGTTAGCACATGGCACGCCATAGATCACACATTTCAATCTGAAATTATGTTTGTGACAGGTTATTAGGATCCATTCTCCCATGAGATCTGAGAGGAAGCAGGACTGGTCAGATGTTCCAAGTCGAGAGATGATAAGCAGAGCTCATATGGCAGCCCTGCGTTTAAAGAGGGGTCAAGATGGCGATTTGGGACAGTTCGGTAGTTGTAAGGTTTTGGGCAATGTGGACCCCAAAAGCAATGGACCCGTCTCAGGATCTCCAGACATGAGCAACGTAAGAAAGTTCTCGAACTACAGTAAATGGGAAGTAATGCCTTTTGAGAGTCTGAGAATGGAAGCACAGGATCATTATAACCAAATGGAGGGAGTCTCCTTATACAAAATGGATGGAAACAAGTTGGATGATCTAGTTTGCGTGAGGCACTCCTCATAATCCAAGGTATAATTCGAATTCCCTTGTGTGTGTTCGTAACGTGCATTCTAACGCTCTTCTTGTGGAGAAAATGCCCAACTGGATATTCCCATTTCCTCATGGAATTTCGAGTTAAAGCGATTCTCGGACACAGTTGATATGATTTGGGCTTGTGCTGTTGCTATCTGAACATGCAATCACTCTACAGTCAACTAACTTGATTTGCAGCAGTGTCATTATCAGCAATCCATGTCTGCCTGTGGGGAAAGGTTAACATGCTTATCGGCAATCAATATTTCAGCTTTAATAGGAACTCCAGGGAAAGGATTCTAATGTGTGATACGAGTATAGACGTTACCGTTTTTTTATTTTTGATTGATATTGTATTTTTCTAATAAAATTGTTTTTTTTCTAATAAAATTGTTTTTTGTTAGATTTTTTAGTACAAAATATGTAGCTACTGAATCCAACTAAAGCAACTGATTACTCCTTGTAACCCTATGGTTTCTTTTTACATTTTTTTTTTCTTTTTTTGCAGCTATGGGATAATCCTTGAAACTGGATTCTTTAAAAGAAAACTTTAACCTTATGTTTAGTGTTTGTTAAAATGACTAACCAACCTGGTTTTTCTTGGTTGTTATCTACCATTATTATAATTTTATTACGTTATTCCTGTTTCATTGTAGCTACTGAAAGTTTGATGAGTGTGATTCTAAACTTTAGATCATGTAGAGGATGTTTGGTGGAGGGATTCGTTCCCTGATTCGAATCATGATTCGTGATTCGTTACAGTATTTTTTCTCACAAAAAATTTACGTAAATCGAAAATGATTCGAATCACATGAGAGATCTTGTTAATACCTTTGATGAGAGATTTTGGAAGTGAGGTTAGGGGAAGCAAAGGTACTTTTAGGGCCCTATCGAGTTGAGATGTGATTATACTTTGAATTTGTTATTACCTTTGATGACTGTTTTTAAGAAATAACCTTCTATGTGAACCAGTTTTAGGATTGTAAATTGTTTGAACATATGAGAGATCTTGTTAATTTGGTATTCGACTTTTCCTTTTCTATTACATATACTACTATTTTTTTTTTTTTTGGTTTAATTATTATTGCTCAAGAAACTAAACTTGGAACCTGAATGTCAAATATATATACATAAACATATATAAGTATTATACAATATTACTAAAGGAGGTCGGGTTATTGTTCTTTGAACAGTGGCTAGGGGTGTAAGAAATGAGCCCGAACTTGACAAATCTGCCTGAGTAGACCCTATCCTACCCGAATACAGTGGAATTTTTTTTTTTCACTTTTTCGGATACATTACCACTAAACCCGCACAATGCGGGTAGGGTTCCGGGTTGGATTCAGTTGAACCCGAGGAAGCCGACCCGGCCGAATGTTTATTACCCTAGGGTTTGACATTAGTAGTCATCCCCTTATTTCCGCTCTCCTTCTTCTTCTTCTTCTTCTCATTCATTTCCTATTTTTCTCACTATTCTGCAATAAGAGTTGGAACCACTTTCTTAGAAGTTTCAGAGGGGGAAACAAACCCTTGGACCGTGTTACCTCCGACTTCGCTTCTTCTTCCGTCAGTATCAAGCACTCCCAGCCCTTGGATTCTTGCGAAGGTTATTGCTTTTTTTTTCCCCCCTTTTCCTTTTGATCAAGTTTAGTTGGGTTTTCGCATGTCGCATGGCTGGAGACTTCTCTTTCTCACATCGATTTTGACAATCTCAGTGCCGATTATTTCCTCGATCGTCCCTCATCAGGCGAGTTTGCACTCTTTTGCTTTTCCTTTCTCTGGAAAAGGAAACATAAAGTTTCATTTTTGTTTGGTTGCTAAGAAAATCTGTGAGCTGGAGCTGAGAAAACTTACTGATTTTACTAGTCTCAGCTGAGCGGAGGCTATTGGTCCTCTTATTTCTGCTTTCTCGGAAGTCGAAGTTACCTAATTTTGTGTTTTTCTAAAGTCCAATTCGAATATTGCGTTCATTTTCTTTGAGCTGCCAATGCATATTTTGTGTCAAATTTTCATTTTTCTATATATTCTAGGCGTCCAAACATAGTTTTTTCTTTGTTTGCTCAACACTAAATTTGGTTATGTTGTTTGAAACGCTACCATTCTCTTTGTTTATCAGTTGCGGTGGTTGATGTTTCTGAAGCTAGCAAGAAGGGACGAAGATTTTTGAAAAGTTCATAAGACTTCTATTTTCCTCTGTATTAGTGATAACTGTGTGTGTAACCTGAGTAAATGGGCTGTTGGGCCTAGCATAAATGGCCCAATTTTTCACAATAAAGTTGTTGGCATAAATGGGCTGCTATTGGGTTTTCTTGATTTGGAGTAACCCGAGCCTACTCGAGGTCACCCGACAAGTTACGGGTTTGTGGGCTCAAAATTTTCTCAACCCGTACAGTGCGGCTCGGCCTAATTTTTTGGCCCAACCCGAGCCTACCCGGCCTAATTACACCCCTAACAGTGGCTTTCAGATTTTACCCCTCCCTTTTATGTTTAACTTCTTTTAATACTCGGTGTGTCCTTTTGTTGGTGTGTGTGGACGCTTATCTACTAAAAAATTATTTTGGGTTTTTTTTTCCGTTTTGTTTTGTGCATTACAGCTGTTTCTTTCTCTCTTTCTTCTCGTCATTTCCTCTGCTATGTTGTCTATTCCATCTGTCAAAAAAGTTTATTGAAAATTAATTTAAAAGTTGTTGGTCAAGTTGTCCTATGTTATATGCATTAGCAACCATTTTAAATCCTAAGTGTGGAGTAGATGGGACTGAATCATTGATGACTGCTACCGCAGAAAATTTAGAAATAGATATGTAACTAACTATTACTGACGCTAAGAAAATGTTAGAAAGGGTTTTTAGTTTATATGAAGCAAAATACGGCACTAGTCAAAAAGAACAGGGAACTTCGACCTCAACTAGCAATTCGGGACCTAAAGGATCATCGTTGAGTTTCTTGAAGAAGAAAGAGAAAACGGCAGGATCGTTATCAACACAAGCGTCTACCGAACTAGTTAAATATTTTGAAGTAAATTTTATAATCGATGACGACAAACTAGACATCTTACAGTGGTGGAAGAGCAAAACCGATCATTTTCCAACACTGTCCGTAATAGCTCGTGACATTCTGACAACTTCAGTGTCAACGGTAGCATCGGAGCAAGCTTTTAGCGCAAGCAACTAAATTCTTGACGAGAAGAGAAGCATAATTGATGAGGGGTATTTCTACCAACAAATCAAGTACTTTTAAGCTTGAATATTTGTAAGTCTTCAAGCATTTTTGTTAGTTTAATGACTTTTGTATGCTTTTTATAGGAATTATAAATAAATGCGAACTTGGATGATTTTGCATAAAAAAAAGAAGAATATTTGCCCAACTTGTGAATCAATGGCAAGAGGAGGCGAAAGAGGATTTTAAGGCACAAAAGAGGAGGTTTTGGAATGCAGGAAAGTGGGCTACAGTGCGCAGATGACAGAGTGACAGGCGATATGTCGCCTGTAAATAGGCGATATATCGCCTAAAGAAAAAAAAAAGAGCCCGCGTGCCCAAATCAGTGAAGCTAGGTCAGAATGGGGGGCGCGCCCGCGCCCTGGCCACCAGGCGCGCGCCCCACATCCAGGCACGTGCCCCACACCCAGGCGCGTGCCCGCACGCCCAGAAGCCTACCCGCGCGCTGCAGCGCGCCCAAATACTTGCCCTGCATGCCCAAAGGCGCTACAGCGCGCCTTAGCCCCCTGCAAGCGAAATCCCTCTTCTAAAAATGCACGCCGCAGCGCGTTTTCACGCAGGCTGCAGCGCACGTATGAATTCCTAGCTCCGAAACTAAGTAGTATAAAAGGAAAAAGATGCCACTTGAGAAGGAGAGCCCAGAAAACTGAAGAAAACATCAAAAGGAGGCCAAAATACTTCATCTTGGAGGTCATTGGAAGCTCTTTAATGGATATTGAGTTTTATCTTCTTTCATCTATTTTTCCATGTTGAGCTAGACATTAGATCTATGACTTGATGTAGTTTTATTTGAACTATGTTATGAATATTTTGTTAATTGTTAATTTAATTTCGTTTCCAATTCATTTATGTTTCTCTATGCTTAATGCTTCTAATTTATTTGGCCAATGAGTTAGATGATTTTTAAATTGCGAATTTGATGCTCGGGAGAGATTGAGTTCTTTATCTAGATTTGAGAAACATAGTCTAGGTTGTTGTGAGACCGGGAGGAGATCAACGGTTAGATAATCAAATTAGGATTTACGTCGTTGTGAGGCCGGGAGGCGATCAATATTCCTATTTTCTAATTCTAAAGGCGAAGCTTAATTTGTGTGGAAATATTCATTTCGAATAGGGATATTATTTTAGGTATTTAAATATAGTTCCTGGTGAGGCACTCGAGAGAGGTTGTGAGGTGACATTAGAGTATTGATTAATGAATTGAACGGAATTGATTAGCGATTACATAATAGGATGAACATAGGAATAATAAAGCGAAATCAAGTCCCTAGACCATTTGTGTATAGATACTTTATTTTATTTTTATATTTATTTTGTTTTTGTTATTAATTATCATTTTATTAGGTTGCCTAGATAAAGTTAAGTTACAATAATCACGGTACTTAACGGCAATTCTAAACCCAATCCCTGTGGAGACGATACTCACTCACCCTATGCTCAAAACTTGATACCGTACGCTTGCGGAAATAAAATCTAAAAAAATATTACGCATCAATTAGGCATCCAAATATCTTGGAGGGGCTAATATGCGTTAAAGACTGGGAAGATGTCAGAAGACGAAAACAACAATACACAGATGATTCAATGCAAGAATATTTTTCTAACTTAGAAATAACAGAATCTTCTGGAAGCACTTAGGTTTGTAATTTACTATTCCTAGCTACTGCACTCTTTTTTCCTTCACTAAGGTTTTGTCCTGATCTCCCCACGGATTTTACTTAGCAAGGTTTTTAACGAGGCAATAATTTATGTGTACTTATTCCTATTATGTCAATTCAATAAAATCACATCTTTTGGGGCATATGATATATATTTTTAATTAAATTTAAAAAAAATACAAGGGCTTGGGCCCAGGCTCCGCCCTGGCCCTTATGGACTAGGGCCAAGGGCCTGGACCGGGCTTGAGTTTTTCTTCTCAGGCCCGACTCAGGCACGACCTTGCACTGTGTAGGGCCGTGCCAGGCCCGACCCAGGCCCGTAATGGGCTTGGTGGTGGACGTGCCGTGTCGGCCCGGCACGGCACGTTTGACACCACTAGGTGGTGGCGGCGGCAGCTTCAACGAGCTAATGGTGTACCTTAGCAAGAGCTTAGTTGTCGACGATAATAACGAAGTGTTTGATTTAGTTTAATGGTAGAGGGCATGAGCATTAACTTGGCCAGTCCTAATCGATTGACAATGGATATTTTTTCAATCTCAGTCTCTACTGTTTCATCCGAACAAGCCTTCAGTACGACCGGACGAAT